TTTTAAAAGTAGAGAACAACTTATGGCATTTGATTTGGGTAGCTACTTATACCTTATTGTTATGTGCTGCTCTGACTCATTTGCAGAGTAATTCATAAGACTACCTGATTTGAGTTGGGCCCAGAGAAACAGAAGGCTCTTCAAACTAGTGCTGCCTGTTGTATAAACTGCTCTGTCACTGAGGCTGTGTGACACAGCAGTTCCAGTAAAACTTAAGAATTCTGTGGAAGGTAGGGATGCTTGTAAAGCTTTGCTAAACCCCTACAGGAAATCACAGTAGAGACTTTTAGGATTTTGGAGGAAAAAAAAAAAAATTCTTTAGCAGGTAATCATTTGTTTTTCGAAAATAAAGTTTCTGATTGGTAATTAGGCCCTTGGAGAGACTGAAAACTTAATCACAGGCTATTGTGTTATCATGATACCTAAGCCACTCATCAGGAATTTGGTGTTGTCTGAATGACTAAGCCTCAAAGTTGGACATATGTAGCAGTAGGCCATCATTTAGTGGTGATGGGCTTGAGTTGTCTTGAAGGCAGAGTAACTTGCACAAGGATGTGACTCAGGTTTCCATGGTTTCTATGGTTCTGATTTACCTCAGAGAAAAGGAAAGACAACAGAAAAAAATAATTTGAACCTGATACATAGATATTTCTGCACAATATGCAGGCATCACACAACAGTGGTTGACAGTAGCAAATTTGTGGAGGCAATTCTCCATAAATCTCTCATATTTCTGAGCACGTTATGAGCAGAGGCACATACATGCTTTGTTCCGAATAATCTTTTCAATAATTTCTTTTTAACGAATAGCTGTGGAAGACATAGTGTCTTTTTCCAGAGCAGAGGGAAAGTTTGTTTACCGTCCAGTATAATAAAAATAAGGTCTCTGTCCAGAGAAAAGGTTGAACAGGTCTTATCATCCACTACAAAAATATTTAAGTTCTATCAGCTCAGGCTCTTAGCTGTGACTCCAATCCACTTCAGGTGCCACAACCATATGGACCATTATGCATTGTCCTCCTGAGATTTGGGATGCAATGGAGAATAAAGTGAATCTGAAGCATATGTTATTTAATGTGCTGTGAGAAAAATTCCTTTGTCTCTGATCTAGGAGTCTCATGTCTTATGCCAGCATTCATGAAATTGTGGCAGACTAACTTATTATCTAGAAAGAAGGGTATAATCTAAGATCTGTTATAGTTGTGGTCTGTTTTTGGTTATAAGGAGAGGATATTTACAGAGATGTTACTGTCTTCGAAAGAAAGGAAAAGGAGCCCAAAAGCCAGCTTAGGGAATGTGAGAAGACCCCCAATTATCCAGTAGCTCCACTTGTCCAAGAAGTGGGAAAGAGGTGGGTGAATAAGGGTCTTTTGATACCTTACCTATTAATAGATATTTTAAATCTGTGCAGTGTGTGGTACGTTTGAGATAATATGCCTGAATGGTGCTTGAGTTGTGCCTTTTATTCTCCTCTAGTATGGTAGGGATATCTTTGTGACAGTGGAGCTGCAGACTCATGCCCCAGTTGAAAGGCAATGAGGCTATAGTGACTAGGACATCAAGGAGTCCTAAAACTGAAATAAATGGTGTCACTAATGAGGATATAGGCTGTTATATGAAATGAAAACACTGGAGGTTCATTTGGTTGAGCCTCTAGCAGGCACTGAAACACTCAAAACAAACAAACTGCGGAATCGACACAGAGACACTTTTTCTCTGCACTCTTGATTCTTCCCGTCTTGCTACACAAACCTTAGCTGTTAAGGACAAAAGAAGACCAGGATGGGCAAAGATCTTCTCTAAGGTTGATCTAAGGGATTATGCACCTATCTGAGTATGCTGGGTAACACTGGAAATGGGGATTGAGCTCAAAATTTAATCACTTTTTTTTTTTCTTAACGTTGGTGTCCAAGTCACCATCCTACTCAATTCTGTGAGTAAAAAGGGTTTCTGTATTCAGCTNTTGAATAAAATATACAGACACACACATATGCCTAGACTTATACATGCATATGTACACACAATTTTCCTCTTAAAGATTAAAATTTGGGGGGGATAACTAGGAAATCTCATTTTATTCTGGATTTTCAAGCATCCAAATGGACAGCGACAGAAGGGAAAAATAAAATCAGTGATCTGCACTTTCATTCATGCAGTCTGCTTTCTGGTTATCTGAAAGATGACTTATTACAATTCCTCCTTCTAAGCAGAGCAGAGGAGATGCAGCCTTCACTTTTCCTACTTTCTGTCACC